GGTAAAGGGAAGCAGTCACCTCGGGAGGATCTGGGAAGTGAGAGACGGCCCTAATAACATAAGCAGCTTGCCAGTTAGGAAAGACACAGTCCAAGGAAAGTGTCACCCCAGAGCACTTTACAAATAACATTTACTACAATTCTCCTGAGCAAGTTTTGCATACTCTTCAGAAAAGCTGAGCTTGGGGAGCATGAGACAGAGGGATGGGCAGGCGGCTCACAGGCAGAAAGTGTTTGCCGGATGGAAGTGGAAGGCTCCGGGGGGGGCGGGGAGCATCCTGGGCAGAGGCTCACCCAGTGGGCACCTGGCAGAAGAAAGACACACGAAACCTTCATTCCTGGGGTTCTTACCGATGTGGACGGCTGGGCCACCAATGCATTCCTCCAGGCCAGCTCACACTTGGAGAAATACAGCGGGGCTGTATGCAGGAGGGCATTTAGCCCCTCCTGGAGAAATAGCGGTGTGGGCGCTCTGGAACTTTATCCTTCTTTCTGGACATTTCTAGACTGCCTGTCCTTTCATAAATTCTTTTTCAGAGCATGAAGCCTTTTATTTATTTTTTCAGAATCTAACGTTCCTCTCTCTCTTTTAAAGATTTATTTATTTATGTTAGAGAGAGCACGAACCGGGAGGGGCAGAGGGAGAGAGACTCTCAAGCAGACTCTGTGCTGAGTGGGGAACCAGATGCAGGGCTCAGTCTCACGACCCTGAGATCACGACCTGAGCTGAAACCAAGAGCTAGCCGCACCACCTAGGCACCCTTAACCTTTCTCTTCCCAGGGCCAAAGCCCCCTAAATTGAAGCAGGGATGGTCACAGACATTGTCAAGGGCCTACCGGGTGCTACACAGCGCACTGGTTCCTTTGAACACGTTTACTTGAATCCTTACAACAACCCTCATTCTTCCCACTGTGTCAGCAGACTGGAAGGCTGAGATGGTTTGCACAGTAAAGTATTTGTGCACTAATTTGTACACAATTTGCACCAGGTCCAGTGCTACGGAGGGGTGGAAGATAGATCCCGACTTAGGTATTTTTGGCTCCAGGTCCGGCATTTTCTTCACCAGCTCACTTGCTTCCCAACTGCAGCAGAGGACACCCCCCATCCTCTCGCTGAGCCACACTGGCTCCCACTATTGCCCCGGGGATCCCCTCCGGGACTTGCCACGGACTTACAGTCTTGGAGAAGAATATCCAGCGGATCATATTTGGGAGTGAGGCACCAAGGGAAGTGATTCTGTTGTCCATTGGGGCTTTCAACCAGAATCACTGAGCATGCAGGCAGGCTCTCCTCCCTGGGGTGGAATGTGCTACCTGTCCCTGAACAGAAGAGGAAGGAGACACAGAGTGGCCAGAAGGAGGTGTCGGGCGGTGCCATTTGGTGGGAACAGATCACACCTGGAATTCTCCTTCGCTCTCCCCCAGCAGCGGGCCAAAGGACTGGGCGCAAAGACACTGCCTTGTGCAGAAAAACACTGCAGCGGGGATGGCCAAGCCCCGGGGACGGTGACAGCTCGGCGACAGCGCTTTTCTCCCACACTGCCTCGTCTGGAGCTTCAGCTGGAGACAACACTGGAGGCGTCTTTCCGCAGTAACAATTAGGAGTTCACGCTCCTTAAAATAATCACCAAAACAAAATCCCCCCTCTGTTTTAGACAGGATGGCTTCAGTTCCCATGAGGTCTGCGGGCTGATGGTGATGCTCACCTCATGATGAGCATGAGGTCCGCAAAGATTCCTTCCATGTCCCCCTTTGGTTTTTGGTCAGCGAATGCTGGTGGTGTCTACAAGCCCTGTCCTGTGGGGCATAGAAGCCCAGGATTGCAAAAATGGAGGAGGCCCCCGATATACCTTGCATAAGGAATCATTTGCCTGTTTCAGGGATGAGAAAAATGGCAGCTCTGAGGGAAAACAACCTGTCTGGCAGCCGACCAGAGCCCAGGCTTGTGGCCTTCCCCCACCATCCATAGGTTTTCTGAGGTCACACATTCCCCCGTGGCTCTCTTTCCACGCGGGGGGTTTATGATTGGAGTCATAAAACCATCCAGCTATTGTGCAGAAAACCATCCCATCTCCCACAACTTCCCCCATCAATTTTGTGATTTTTCTAATTAAGTTAAACAATTTGCACATCCCTAAATCTCCCCGTGGGTGCAAGTGTGAGTGATTTCTAACAAGCTGAGAAGACATGGCTGATCCTCCTCCAGGCCAGGGGAGAAAACTTCTCAGCGCCACACTGGTGAGGGAGGCAAGCTTGCAGCCCTCGGAACGTAAATTAAATCCAGATATCAGCTCTCTGGCTCCCTTCCTCCTCCTGCTCTCGCCTTCCCTCTGTTTCTCTCCTGATCCTGACCCTGTCACTCCTGGTGAACACAGCTGGCGGAGTATTTTAGCTATGATGATGTCAGCCTGTTTCTGATAGGCTTCCGGGTAAAGCGACAAATCATTGGCCCTGTCCGGGCCTTGCACTTTGCTTCTCCAGCTCAAAACCCAAGCCACCTTTTTAGCAGGCGACAGCCTCCCCAGCATGTGGCACCCCCACGCGGGGCCGCCCTGACAGACCTGCGATCAGGCCGTGACAAATATTCTACCTTCTAATTTGCACCCTGGCTGTCCGCAGAGACTCGTGGTCTGGCTGCTGGAAGGAAATGAGACTTCACGGGGAAGCCGATTACTCTTTCATTCAAGCATCCACGGTGCAAAGTACCGAGCAGGGAAACACAGGGAGCTGCTTGCTCTCCAGAATGCCGGGTCCGTCTGCAACCTTGAGAGGCCTGGGAAGCTCACATCCACTCGGATGCTGGGGTCTTGGAGATGTTGTCTGCAGCCGGAGCTGTTCTCGATTCTCAGGGTGAAAAGAAGTGCGGGTAAGGAACCAGCAGCTCTCCGAAATAACACCTCTTCCCGTGCCTGCCCCCGTTCACAGTAACGCTTGAAGGGCTGAAGGTGCCATGAAAAAATACGCTTTCATTCTTTTTTATTTTCCATGCTTCACCTGGAGTCTGTTAGAAGACAACTTTGCTAAAGACAACTTGTTTTCCTTCTACCCGTGCCCACCTCCAATGCGTGCAGGCAGGTGGGAGCGAGCCGCACCTACGGACGGGCAGGGAGTTCGAAATAAAGATGTCACTTTAAAAAAAAAATCCTGATTTTTGCTATTTTTTTTTTTAATCTGAACTTTGAGAAATCTCACTTGGATCTTACCAAAGACTGTAAGCCTACGGTGACATTGCACCAGAAAAAAAAGACATCTTTGGAGGCTAAAAGTTCTTGGCAGTGTAGGCCCTCTGACATTGTGTCAGACCCCCACATCTGGTCATTCACAAGCCCTTCTGGAAAACACTGGAAAATCCCCCCTCCCCTGCAACTTGATCTCTAAAAATACACTCAGAACAGTTCAAACCGTTTACTAGTTTTTCTTTTGTTTTGTTTTCCCGAACATCACCTATGCCCTGACTGTTCTCAACTCAGAGTTGAAGGAGGCACCGTCACTTTGGGGTTTTTTTCAAAGTCCTCCATGGAGGGGCGCCCAGATGGCTCAGTCGTTAAGCGTCTGCCTTCGGCTCAGGTCAGGATCCCAGGGTCCTGGGATCGAGCCCCGCATCGGGCTCCCTGCTCTGCAGGGAGCCTGCTTCTCCCTCTCCCACTCCCCCTGCTTGTGTTCCCTCTCTCACTGTGTCTCTCTCTGTCAGATAAATAAAATCTTAAAAAAAAAAAAAGTCCCCTCCATGGAAACATTGCCAGGAGAGCAGGGTTCAGGGGCTAGACAGCAGGGAAGCCCCGAGCCTGGGGGCCAAACCTGTTTGTCTCCAAGCCACCTGGACAGGGAAAGTGCTGTTTTCTATAAAGGGGCTGTGGAATAGAAGCGTTCAATGATTTAAGACACTGTAAAAGAGAGGACTGAGCAAGACCATAGATATTCATAGAGTTAATAATACTTCCAGGCTTTAACACACCTGACCTTGACTGAATCTTACCCCTTGGGGTTCCTACTTACTACATGCACAGGAGATCACCTTGGGATTCTGAGACAATGTTAACCATGCCTTTGATTTTCTACATTCTGATGCTTTTGACATCTTGGGAGACTGGAGGGACTGCCCCTCCCGGGGTTAGCTTCGCATGCACACTAAACACCCACACTCCCAACCCACCTCCTCCACTGGGGCTCTCACATCTATCTGCTCTCATCACACCAGGCCCAGGTACCAGACACCCAGGGATAGTCCCTATGCCCCAGAGCCCCCTGAAATTATTCACGCCAGCCGATCCTCAGTCTGCTTACCCCATGTTGCTCATTCTTTCCCATGGAAACTACCATGCAGGCTCTTGGCCATGTTCCCTCCTGGCTGCCCCCCCACCCCCGCCTCCTCACTCACCCTGGTGCTCCCGCGGGTGGCCCTGCATGGCGCGCCCTGTCTTTTTGGGATCTGAGTAGAACAAGCTACCTTTTCAATGGCAGCCCGTGTCCTCATCTGTCGGCCTCACCACACCTAAATGATTAATACCACCTACATTTTAAAACACAAGATGCTGGAACGGGATGTGGCCATCTAATGTCCCCGCCCTGACCAGCACCGTCTTTTTCCTGACAGGGACAAAGAGCACAATGACCCCAAGAAGGGCCTTGAGCCCTGCAGCGTTTCTCAAGCAGGGTTCCTCATTTAAACCAAAGAACCAAAAAAAAAAAAAAAAAAAAAATCTTGAGTGGTGATTTTCGGAATCCTACGGAAGTTGGTCCCTTACCAGCCCCCGTCTACAGGAGCATGGAAGTGAATTCATTACAAACAGCAGATGCCTTGGGGCATTGGGGCTCATCTCTCTCACGGAACCTGGTCAGGAAAGAGGATAGGTCTACAGTCTGGGTATACGTGAAAACCCTGAATTCTCCCCACAGCACATTCGGGTCTGCCTCTTGGAAGACACTCATCTTGCCAGGAGAACGATGATGGGGGCATGGTGGGTGCCCCTACCTGTGCCGGTGAGGGCGGGTGGACATTACCTGTGCTCGGTGCTCCCCAACCGCAAACTGGATCACAGCCACGCCGGGATGGTGGCTATCCTCGATCCTCTCCACCGTGCTGGAGTCAATCTTCAGGTCACTGCTGATCTCCGCACTCTGAATGAAGTCTTCCGTCTTTAGGTCCTCCACCTTCTTCAGCTCCCCATTGGCCAACTGGATGATGGAGCCTTTCATGAAGTAAGGGGGCAGCGTGGGCGGTGCAGAGGCAGGGGACGCCACCGACTGCACCACAGGCAGGTGGATCTGGGCCTGCACCATGGCGGGGTAGGCGGCCTGCGTGACCAGGGCCTCGGGGCTGAAGTTCTCGCTCTTGGGAAGGGCGGTGGTGACGAAGGTGTGAGGCATGGCCGCGAACTGGGGCGACGAGGTGGCTATCGTGGGGGCTGCTCCCGACCCCTCCACGTCGGCGCTGCCCACCGGGATGAGCAGGGGCTGCGTGCCGGGGATCACCAGGTGCTGGGGCAGGCTGCCGGCGTAAGTGATCGCTTGCTGCTGGCTACTCAGGTAGCCGATGACCGGCGCCTGTGTCCCCGCATAGAAAGCGGTGGCTGGCAGTCCCACCGGGAGAGGCTCCGAGGCGCTGTGTGGGGTCTGGATGACCGTGTGGGGGGACAGCGTGGCGACGGCAGCGGCCTTCACGCCTTCGGGGCCCAGAGCCTGTTGGGGTGACAGCGCGTAGGACCGGTGCCCGGGCTTCCCTAGGTGCAGGCCGCTTTTGTCGTTGAGGGTGGAGGGGGAGGCCTCCCGGTGCGTGACCTGCTGCACCTCCAGGTCCGCGGCGGGGGTGTTGCTGGTGGGCAGGACCATCACAGAGGCCCGGACCCCCGAGGAGTCCCGGCCGCCGTAGTCGGCGGCGCTGGGGTGGACCACCACGTGCCTGGACTCGTACGGGTGAGGAAGGGACTTGCCGGCCTTCACCAAGCCTAGGTCCGCCGAGCTCGGGGCCCCATACCTCCGGCCCTTCTCCACCTCCCCGTTCAGGAGCTCCTTGGCCTGCATGGCCTGCTGCAGCCTGCCACTCTCGGCTTTCTTGGCGGCCTCGCGCGGCACAAAGTGGCTGCCGGAGTCGGTGTATTGCACTACGACCTGGGGGGAGGGCCCCAGGGTGAGCGTGTGTGGGATCATCGTCTGGTGCGGATGGAGGTGGACGGGGATGGCCGGAGGAGAGGCCGTGCGCCCGGCGCTCTGCGGAGAGCTGGAGATGTGGACGTACTGGTTCTGCTGCGCGGGTGGGGGGGACCCCGGCGTGATGAGCCCCGGCGTCCTACCCAGGTGCTGTTGCTGCTGCTCAGCCTTGTGTCCTGAGGCTTGGCTCAGACTGCCCATGTTGGCCAGCAGAGTGGAATAGGCCTCCAGCTGGGAGCGCTGGGATGGAGTGGTGGCCCCCGCGGCAGAGGCCACGGCACTGGTGACGGGGCTGGCCGTCGGGGAGATCAGCTGCGAAGGGATGAACCCGGCGTAGGGCCCGCTGTACTGGGAGGACCCGATGAACTGAAAGGTGTGTGGCAGGTGAGCGTACTGCACGGGGGACACTGGCGTCCCCGACTGCGGGGGAGGGTACGCCGTGGGCAGCGTGCTGGTCGCCGGGACGGACCTGGGCGCGCTGGGCGGGGAGTAGTCCAGCCCCGTGGACAGCGCTTTGTGTAAACCTATTCCCTGTTGTAAACCGAGCTCCCCCGAAGTCCCCGCCGGGCCGTGCCTGCCGCCCCCGTGGGCGCGGCCCCCGGGGTTGCCCGGGAGCCATGCCCCAGCCTCCGCCCGGTGGTTGTTGCTCGGCGGCCCGGCGGCCTTCTCTTCAGAAGGCCGGCTGGTGGCGGGGATCTCGCGCTTTTTGGGAGGCAGGCATTCGTTGCTCCGCTCTTGGTTGGATTTCATTTTTCGCCGTCCCCCCTCCACGGTGACTGTTTCACTGTCTGGCTGGCTCTGGGTTTAGTCTGATACATGGAAAGTCACATTTGATTTCTGTAGGGGATCCAGGCTCTTCATGAGGAATCATCTCCTCGTGGGTTCGATCGACCGGCCGCAGCTCTGGAAGCTGGGAAAGAGGAAGAGGGCGGGGGACAAGGGGAAGAGGCGAGGTAGGAAGAAGGGCAGGAGGAAAAGGAAATCAAGATATCAGACTGAGACTAGCCTCTGGCTGCACCGTGAATTCCCAAAACCTGATGAGAGCCCGTGTGAAAGCACATAAAACACTGGCCGTGCTGGACAGCAGGTCAGAAAGATGAGGAACATACTGGGCGAGTCAAAACCTTAAAGCAGATGACTTCTTTTAATTTTTTAATTTTTTTAAAAGTAGGCTCCATGCACAGCATGGAGCCCAACACTGGGTTTGAACTCATGACCCTGAGATCAAGACCTGAGCTGAGATCAAGAGTCAGATGCTGAACTGACCCAGCCAGCCAGGCGCCCCACAGCAGATGTCTTTTTATGGCATTAACAACTCCCCTAAGACCGTCTGCATCTCCTAAGACCTGTTTCTCAATACCCTCTCTCCTTTATTTCTTTTTTTCTTAGGGGGTAGATGGTTTATTTCTCAAATTTCCTTTTCAGAAACGCCGGTCCCTTCCTCACCTCTTCGTTCCCTTGCTGGAAAATCAAATGAAGCCCACAGGCAGGGTGACACTGGGGAGAATCAGCCTCAGATGCAGGCGCTGGGAAGGAGCAGGTGAGGAGTGAGGGTCCCGAGCGGTCTTTGGGCATAAGGTCTGAAGCCTCATCTACTGGAGCTGCTACTCAAAGTTTCTGCCTGACTCTGGGTTCATACTTGATCCACAACCATTCCCTCTTCCCTAACACACACACACACACACACACACACACACACAGTACACATGCCAACTCAGCAGAGGCAGCCAAAAATAATCTTGTGCTCTACAAGTTTCCAAAGAATTCCCAGTACAGCTACTCATATGGTAACAGAAAGCCAAAAGAAATCTGTGAGACAGTTAAAAACTGAATATGGTTATGCTTAAAAACAAGAATAAGAATGCACTAATAGGGTGGCTGCACTGAAGATTTTTTCACATGCTCCCTTCATTCCTCTTTCTTTCTTTCCAGGTAGTCTCTGAGTTTTCTCTTCACACCGCCCCCTCCCTTTCTCCTTGGAAAGGGCCAACCCACCATTAACCCTAGAGATGAAAGCTCTTTCAGATCAATCAGACCCGTGTGCTTAGCCCTGGATCTATAAATAGTGGGCTGGGAGCCAAGTGTTATGGGCACACAGTTCAGTCTCTCAGTGACCAGTGAGCCCCAAGTCACCATGACTGTGTGTGCACATGGATGCCCACTGGCAACAGACCGAACATCAATGGCACCAACAGGAACTGGGCTAACAAGCAGCAGGTGTGAGTGCCCCCTCCAAGCAGTAGCTTCAGACAGGAGCAGTGCTATGTGCTGGGATCCTGGGAAGCTGCAGCATGGGCCTTGGGCTTTGGGAATTCCAGGCCCCAAGGGGTTTTGGCATCTCTACTACCCAGACCCTCTTTTTTTACGATCCGATTTTAAAGCAAACACAACAAGGCAGCTGCCTTCAGCACCCGATCCTGGCCAATGCCCAAGCAGTGGCGACATCCCTACTGTAACATGGCCTCTTTCCTCTCCTCTGCCTGCACCAGCTTCTCCCCCATCTCTGTCATCTGTGTAGCTACACTCCCCCACCCTAATCTGTAACTTTTGTTTTGGTCCATGATTTAGTGGTCCTTGTTGCTCTTGCTTCAGCATCACCACGGAACATCAACACAAAAGGGCAGATGACACAAAAGGAAGTCCCCATCCTTAATGGCTGTGATCCAGGTATATATGAGATAGAAGTATCCAATTCGGTGTCTCAATGTCAAAGGTCATTTCAATAACAACAGGATTTGTCACGTGACAAGAGAGGCACTTTAAAGACTGGGATGGAGGGGCACGTGGGCGGCTCAGTCAGTTAAGTGTCTGCCTTCAGCTTAGGTCACGGTCTCAGGGTCCTGCGATGGAGTCCTGCATCGGGCTCCTTGCTCAGCATGAAGTCTGCTTCTCCCTCTCCCTCTGCCTCCTCCCCACCACTTGTGCTCTCTCTCTCTCCATCTCTGTTTCAAATAAGTAAGTAAAATCTTAAAAAAAAAAAAAAAAAGACTGGGATGGAAACCAGGATGTTAATGCTGGAGAAATATCTGTGCTGAAGGAGTAATGTCAATTATTTGCCCTCCTGACCTAGGGCTTATAGAAGTCCAAAGTAACTGTGTTCTGTATAGCCTTCTTTTATAAATAGTGCAGCACATAATTTACACACAGTATTTGCAAATCAATCAGGATGACAGTGCTATTTTTTTCTCTCTTTTTTTTTGGTATAGTGGAAAGTACTATTTTTTAAAAGATTTATTTATTTTAGAGAGAGAGGGAGCTCACGCGTGCATGAGCGAGCGGGGTGAGGGGCAGAGGAGAGGGAGAGAGAGAATCCTCAAGCAGACTCCCCACTGAGCGAGGAGCCTGCTTGGGGGCTCGATCTCACCACGCTGAGATCCTGACCTGAGCCGAAATCAAGAGTTGGAGGCTTAACCAACTGAGCCACCCAGGCGCCACTGTGCTATTTTCAAAACAACGACGGAACAAAATTAAACTACAAAATTATAAAAAATCAGTGGCCCCTTCTGGCTGCTTAAAAAGTACTGACAATGGTCTTTTGTCTTTAGATTTCAACAGTCACTTAAGAAACAATTGTATAAGCTCCCACATTCCCAGGCCAACTAGCAAAGGCAAGTCATTTAGGAGATCTGCTCAAAGCAAAGCGGTCCCTGCGCCCCCTGCTGGTTCCACAGCAGCACTGCTCCAATAAAACCCCACAGGATTTCATTAGGGATGTTCATGCAAGAGTGATATGTCAGAATCCAAGATGAGAACATTTGCATATAGTAGGCCCAGCCAGTAAGGGAATAGGTTAATTAGCCCAAGGCAGCTCGAGGGAAGAAAAAGCAGCAGCATAAAAGTCCTTTCAAAGCCAAGCAAAATGTCAAACACATTCAGAAGAGGTCCATTAGCAATGCAAATGTAAAATTGCTTGTACAACCAAATGCACAATATACAAAACTAGAAAACCCCTCTGAAGGTACTTTTTAAAGAACCCAGCTTTAGCAAATCCGAAAAGGAATGCTGACTTGGTTCTCAGTAGTGCCTTAGTTTATAGTGTTCATTTGAGAGACACTGGCTTAGCTGGTCCTCAAGGTCTCTGTAGAGACTCCAGGGCTGGTCTTCTGCTAATGGACCACTAAGACATATTGGCCTTAATGCACAGATTCAAATTTATTCTTCTGAAAAGCAATCCATTGATGAATGTCTTTTCCAGATAATACTAATGATAAATCCAGGATCCAGAGATTAACACAGGAGCTGGAAAACCTAGGGCCAGACTGATAAAAATTTTAATCTATCCTCCTGCTACATTTAGCAGGACCATGTCTATTTACCAGTGCAGCTTGGAGGAGAGAGGGGCTTTCTAATTCTGGGGCATGCGTCCCTTCTCTGTGTTCACCAGCTCTGTACTATCTGAATCTCCCATCGGGGATAAGCACTGAGGGGAGGAATTGAGTCGCTGTATTTTCAGAGAACCACCAGAGGGCGCCACAGTTTGCCACCAGATCCCCTGAAGGCTGTTCGATTATTCGCGGCATTGAAAGAATGGAGAAGTATATACTTTGAAGGTGGAAGAGCACTGAAGGGAAAAAAGGAAGGGAGAGAGAAATAGATACAAAAAAAAAAGAGAAGAAGAAAAAAGGAGAGTAGGATTTTTGCTTTTAGGGTCTCTTTCTAGCTGCAAATGGCCTTAGTGTCCCTAATAACCTTCTTGGGGCTGAAACACACTAGTGGTTCACCTGGGCCCCTGGGGAGCTCACTTCTGCATGAACAACAGAAAGAGTTCTTCCAAACATGGGGCCACACACTATTTTATAAATGCTAAGTTACCAGAGAACCACACGTGCAGATCCCATTGTACAAACATTATTATTAAGAAAGATACTGGAGGGCGCCTGGGTGGCTCAGTTGGTTAAGCGACTGCCTTCGGCTCAGGTCATGATCCTGGAGTCCCGGGATCGAGTCCCGCATCGGGCTCCCTGCTCGGCAGGGAGTCTGCTTCTCCCTCTGACCCTCTTCCCTCTCGTGCTCTCTATCTCTCATTCTCTCTCTCTCAAATAAATAAATAAATAAAATCTTAAAAAAAAAAAAAAGAAAGATACTGGATGAGTCAAGGCAAACTTAGGTATGGTTTGCCTGAGAACCTCTGTTCTGAATGCACTCACCTTAAGTGCATTCTTTATGTCTACATTTCTCTCTCTCTCAGTATTTTATAATTTAGCTCAGTGGCATAAGGCCTTGCTCTGCAAAGTTCTGTCCTCGGACCAGCAACGCCAGTCACCGACCCCCTCCCCCTACCCCCAGCAGCTCTAGAAATGCAGGATCTCAGGCCCCACCCAGCCCTCCTGATTTAGAATCTGCATTTTAACAAGGTCTCCAGATGATTCATATGCACAGAAAGGTTTCAGAACCTCAGGTATGAGATTAAATTTTCTAATCATCAGCTCCTAAACAAATTAAACATCTCTAGCCTCTCTTTCTGATGTAGTAGTTTCTGAGAAATAAAACTGGGTGCTGTATATGCAAACACAGAGTGGATGGAGCCTCGGAGATAAGCAGCTAATATTTAGGGAATATTCAGGGGTTTATTTTGGGGGTCACTTAGGCTCAATATAGTTCTAAGTAACGAATACTCCTTTTCTTCTGGTTCTTTGTGTCTCCAAAAAATATAGGGAAACATACTTTTAAAAAAGCTGTTATCAATTTTATACATGACTCAGTCATCTCCATGAAGAAAAACAAAATTTAACAAAAGAAGCCCCACACTTCCATCTCTGCTTTAATTCAAAAAAAGTTCCCCCATTACCATGGAT